CCCTTTAAAACAGTTCCTCACGCTGTGGTGACCCCCAACCATAAAGTTATTTCATTGCTACTACTTCATAACTATAATTTTGCTACTATTATGAATCGTAATGTAAATATCTGATATACAGATGTCTGACATTTGACCTCTATGAGGGTCACTACTCACATTCTGAGAACCGCTGACCTAACAGGAAAGTCTGGGCTGTGCTATAGAATATATCTATTTTATTCAGAACAGTCATTTGCCCACCTGCTTGCTCCCTCATTAGATTGTGAATCATAAGAATTTTGTTTGTTTTTTGAGACAGGGTTTCTCTGTATTGCTTTGGAGGTTGTCCTGGAACTCGCTCTGTAGACCAGGCTGGCTTCGAACTCACAAAGATCCGCCTGCCTCCTGAGTGCTGGGATTAAGGACCCTGACTTGGAAAGAAACATCTTTGCAACCTAGGCCCCTGTAGGACATAGTGGATAACTCCCATCTTAGAGAAGGTCAGAGGGATGTGACTAAGAGGGAACCTGCACTCTATGCCTCACTTGTAATTAATTCTAGCAAGTCTTGAGCACTGCACTGTGCTCCTATCCATAAGCCACCAAAACAGCTTTTGTGTCCCACTACTCTCCTTTCAGATCTGCAGTGAGGTAGCCCCAGGTTCAGGTGAGGCACACAGGCTGACTGCAGTCTTCAGATACCCACTGATGTTCATGGCGATCCAGAAAACAAACAAAATCAAGAAAATGACCTGAACCCCAGAGCCGTTAACTTAACAGGCTAATTGCAAGCACTTGACTAATTAGAAGCAATTTGACATTTGCAATTAAAGACACATGATCTTCTCAGGTAATGAGTCAGACTGGGTGGACAGTGACTTCAATGCTAAAGCAAGGCTTCATCGTCATCAAGTACTCCAAGCCAGCTCCCTGAAGAGCAGAGTTCCTGCCAGTCCCAGGAAGGCACAAACAAAACCAGAGAAGCAGAGCAGCCCTGAAGCCTAGTACCAAACGTTTATCCTACAAGCACAGGTGTCTCCACACTGCCTGAATCCACACAATAAGGACCAGAGTCTACAGGTCTACAGAGACAGACAGGTACCTCAATACAAACTGTCCCACCGCACCCCCAACAGCACACCTGTCTGGCTTTTGAGTGATTGCAAAAAAAAAAAAAAAAAAAAAAAAAAAAAACTAGATCTTACTACTCATCAGAGGAGTTGAAACAATGAAGAAAAACAAATTAACACCATAAAAATGTTATAATTTATCCACTGGTAGTCATGCCACAAAATTCTTTGTGTGTGTGGAGGGTGTGTTAACACATTCATGTTTGTGTATACATGCGTGGAGGCCAAAGTTGGGTATTTAACTTTACTGCTCTCCACCTAACTTTTTGAGATAGGGTCTCTCACTGAATCTGGAGCTCATGCACTTGGTGAGACTTGCTGGCCAGCAAGCCCCAAGGATCCTCTTTCTCTCCAGCCCTGATTGCAGCCATACTGATGAGCCCTTAGGCTTTGCACAGCAAACACTTTACTGAGTGAGCCATCTCCATTGCCCTGCAAAATGTATTCTTTTAAGAAAATTATTTAATTTTTAAAATCGTCAGGGGTGGGGTTCTGAGTTTGTGCATGTGAGTGCAGGGGCTTTTGGAGGCCAGAGGTGTCAAATCCACCTGGAGCTGGAGTCACAGGTGGCTGTAAACACCTGAAGTCGGGTGCTGGGAACTGAGCCCCAGTCCTCTGAAAGAGCAGTGCATGCTCTTAACCACTGAGCCACCTCTTCAGCCCTATGAATCTCATCTTGTTATTGTTGTTTGTTTTTTGTTTTGTTGAGACATGGTTTCTCTGTAGCCCTGGCTGTCCTGGAACTCAATCTATAACCAGGCTGGGCTCAAATTTGGAGATCCCCCTGCCTCTGCCTCCCATGTACTGGGATTAGGACAAGCACCACCACAGCCCACCTACAAAATACATTCTTACACATAACTACTAGGAATTTAACTCTTTTGAATATGGAATTTGGTAAACTTTATCCAAATATTTTAAACATGCAGCAATTTTATTTTCAGAAATGTAATCCAAGGGGGAAATGTTGATATGGGTAATGCTTGGAATATGTGTATTTCATTGTATAATTGTTTATAAAAGATGAAAATTTTGAAATAGCTACTTTAACATAAAGGTAGAAAATTGGAACAAATATGTAATGAAATACTAGGAAACTAAAATTATAAAATAAATAAATAAATGAAAATGCTTATATGGCCATAATATACAACTGGTTAAAAATTTGAGTAGTTCAGGCATATTAGAACATACTTTTAATCCCAGCATTGGATGTCTGAGTTTGAGAACAGCCTGGTTTATATAGCAAGTTCCAGGCCAGCCAGGCCTACAGTGAGACCCTGTCACAAAACAAAAACCAAACAAACAAAAAAAATGTTTTATGGCATATATATGTTGTCATAACAAATCTACTCATGTGTTTGTGACTGAATTCTAAAATGATACATCAACCAAAATGTTTGAATTAGATACTAAATCTCTTTTCATGCTTCTGTGTTTAATAACTATTTTACTACAAAGTAGAATTTTTGAAGTATAGACCATCATATCAATTCTGTGCCTTGAAGTTTATCCTACAGAAAAAAAAATCCTACATGCCAAGGGAACATGGGAGGACCCTTATAAACAAACGAAAAAAAATGTACATATTGTGTTTATTTGCAAAAGGAAAATAAAGCTGACAGCCTAAAATGTTCAAAAATGGCTATGTAAAATACACTGCACCCACATGCAGACTATAAACAGCGTTTTCAAAAGCAACACATTTTTTTAATCCCGTATGAAAGAGAAGCCTGCGTGTTTTGTGAACCTCGAAGCACCAGAACCAAAGGGTGGAATTCAGGGTCTGACTCAGACAAGGGAATGTTCCCACCATACAGGAAGCTAAGGAGTGAGGAGTCTGGGTCCCTGGGATTTCCCCAGGCTGTCCGAGGGCTCAGAGGGGCTTGGAGACAGGCAAGTAGAGACAGGTTCTGAGAGAGTCTAAGGAACACCAGTGGCGGGATGCACACCCAGCAAGAGTCTTCCTGAAGTGGTAGGTCCTGCTGGACGCATTCATAACTTCCCTTACTCCCAGAAGTTGTTTGGTTCTGAGAACACTTTAACTAGAGAAACATTCATGCCAGCCCAGCCAGCTATGTCAGCCTCCTGCTTGGGCCTTGTCCAGCAGGCCAAGCTCTCACTAGCCCGGCCACCTTCCTCCTGCCCTGCACCATCAAATGGACTGCTGGGCTAAGGCAGCGAGGAAACAGGAGCATTAACCACAGCCTGACCAGCTCCCAACCCTGTCTGGGGTGCTGCAGTCCAGGTCAGTCCTAGGAGCTGAGCGCGCCTCTGTGGAGCCCACCCTTGGGCGTCGCTGGGCCGAGATGAGGGGGGTTGTGACGGCAGCTCTCCTAGGGCAGGCGCCGGGCTCCTCGATTTCCTCAGTAATTACTTCATTTGCACCGAGCAGGAAGAATCCAACTCAATCATCCAGGCAGACACACTAAATGTAATTATCTATGTAATGCGTCCTGCACCATAGCCTTCCTGTGAAAAAAGGAAAAGCAGCCGAATGGGGGGGGGAGGCCCCTTTGTCTCCAGCCCACGCAGCACGCCACCAGGATTAATTACACACGGTGCTAACACGTTTATCACCTCGCCGCCCGATGGGGAAACCAAGGGCTTTTAATAATTCATATCTGCGGCCCAGCACTCTGCGCGGCTGTGTGGAGACGCAAAACCCTGATCCTTTCTGCAAGGAAAGCTCGGCGTTTGTGCAGGTGCCGGGGCTGCTCTTGCCACTGATCTGGGAGCACTGCCTCCCTGTCCCTCCGGTCGCCGGCCGAGACTCTGTGACAGGGGCCCAACCCTCTCCGAGGGCAGGATGGACTCGGCTCTTGCCCAGGCTAAAACGCAGCTCCCCAGGGGTGGAGGCTGCAGCTGGACAGTTGCAGACGGGGAACCCTCCCTACTTCCACAGGGCTCGGAGGCCCGGCATTGGGGACCAAGACGGCACCTGCAGTGCCCTGCAGCCATCTGGACAGGGGCTCCAGCAGAGGCGTGCCAGCCAGGGCTCCGCCCACGCATGCTGTAAGACCCGTGCCTGAGTGCGCCACTGGAAGATGCCAGATGGAGAGCGAGAGGTCTAGAGGGACTTGGGAAGAGCTGCCCAGTCCTGAAGGCCACCACCTCTTCAGACACTTACTGGGACACTTCTCTGCCCCCCCTTTCCTCCTCCCACTGTGCCCTAGCCCACCTCTCCCTGCATCCAGAACCTACCACCTCTCACTCTCCCTGCCAGACTGGCCTGCAGTCTCAAAGGGCATCTCCCAGTAGCCGCTTCTCCCTCCTCCTTTTTCCCCTTTCCTCGCCCCTCCCCCTCCCTTGCCCATCGCTGGCCACTTTATCCCCAGACTCCTCACACAATAGCCCAGTCCCAGGGCTCTAAACAGCAGCAGCTCGCTTTTCCATTACCAACACTGCATATTCCTTCACTCTGCATCACCCCCTGCCCACGTACCCTTCAGCGGCTTCCTCAGACGCCCCCTAAGAAACCAAGAGCTTCTGACCCCTCCCACTAAGGAGAGCCTCCACCGACCTGAACCTGACCCCTGAACTCTTCCATCTCTCCTTCCTATAAGATTAGAGGTAGGGTGGGGCTGGACCTTGGAGGTTGGCAGCCCCAACGCTGCCCTCTCCCAGGGACTCAACTCAAATGTAATCAATTGAGACGGTGTCGGCCCTTCTTGGAAATTCTGAAGGGGCTGAGGTCACAGATAGGCTATAATTAGCATTCTCAGCATCCATGATCCCCAAGTAAGGCTGCCAAGGCTAAGGATGAAGAAGGCAGTTCACTGCAGTGCACGCAACCCTGGCCTGTGCGGCCAAAATCGGCTGCCAGCCCTGCCCCAGCCCAGCCTTCTTCCTCCCACCTCCTAGATCTGATGCATCTAAACGGACTCACCGGCTGGGCCTCGGAGGTGTGATCCCACGCTGAGAGCGCTAAGTGCGATTCCGGAGGCACCCCTCCCCCAGTTCGGGCCAGCTGGGGTCGTCCTCCCCCGCCCCTGGGGACCCCTTCGTCAGAGCGGGGCACTGGATCTAATCTGATCTAATCAGTCATCCTTCCCGCTGGCAGATCCCTGGCTCCGGGGAGAGGATGCTGTTGTGGTTACTGCAGGATCCAGCACCTTTCCCAGGCAGAAGCAGCTGGGCATGCTCCATCGGCTCCCGTGGGGATTTCAGGACCACGTGACTCTCCCTCCCCAAGCTGTCACTTAGGATCAGGAGTAAATAGTCCCCGGAAAGGTTTAACTCCATCCACACCAGTGACAAGCTGCTAACCACCCTTCCAACCCTCCCCACAGAGAAGGGGTTGGTGGGCGCAGCCTTCCTGGCCTCCCACAGCCGGGGCAAGGCTGCCCCCCAGAGGGCATCTGGACCTGCTTATGTGTAAGCAGCATTTTCAGATTCTAACCACGGGAGACTGCAGAAAGCTAGATATTTTTGCCCGTGGGTTTGGCACTATGGTGGGACTTCATGTACCCAGCCTGCCTAGGGGTGGCTTTTCAGCTCCAAGATGGTCCCCATACAGAGGGACCATCTCCAGGTATTAGGAGAACTTTGCTGGAATCCTAATACTTCCATATCCCCAACACAATGCATTTAAAGAAAGAAAATTAAGAGAGCTGGGACCCGTTTATAAAACACCAAGATCTCCTAGTCTTCAACCCAGACTGGTCTCTGGTGACCTTGGATGAGGATGCTAGCCCCGCCCCAACACCTGTGTTCTGCACAAAGATGGACAGAGGCAGGAAGCTTTAAACAATAAGGCTATAGGCCCATTTCCACTATAAACAGTCAGTGGCATCCCCATCTCTGCCCTCTCCTATGCCTCAGTTTCCTTCCTTTCACGTCTCTCTGGAAAAGCTGATTCTCTATGACAATGGACAAGTGCAATGGGAGCCTTGCTCATAACCAGAATCAGAAATGCCCTTAACTTCCAGGGTTCACATCTCGGCTGTACCTTGAACCCAAAGCTGAAGACCATTCTACTGAGGTCACTTCTTTTTTGTTTTGTTTTGTTTTCATGACTGGGTTTCTCTGTGTATGTTTGGCTGTCCTGTAACTACCTCTGTAGACCAGGCTGGCCTCAAACTCACAGAGATCTACCTGCCTCTGCCTCCTGAGTCCTGGGATTAAAGGCATGCACCACCACACCTAGCCCCTGGGGTCACTTCTGAACATAGAAATATTCCAAGAAGCAGGGATTAAATGGAGAGTCCCTGTAAAGCACTGCCCACATGACAATTTTATCATTATTTGCTAATGGACTGTCTTGATTGAAAAATAAAAAGCAGCCTGGGCTGAGGATGTTGGCTCAGTTGGTTGAGTGCTTGTCCAGGACACATGGACAAGCCCTGGGTTCCAAGGGAGTACCCCATAAAATGTGGTATAGGCAAGAAAATCAGAAGCTTCAAGCTATCCTTGACTACTTAATGAGTTCAAGGCCAGCCTGGGCTACATGAAACCTTGTCTCAAAAGAAAAAAAAACAAATAAAGCAGAAAAGTAACTTCTCCCCACTCAAACCTGAATGAGTCTCACCACAGTATATGAGCATCCCCATGTAAGCATCCCCGTGTTAAGCATCATTCTTGCCACCTGAAGTACTTTTCTTAAGAAAAGAATCTGTTTTAGAAGGCACAGAGAACGCCTCCTTCCCAGCACCCAGGAAGAGATAGATTAGGGGAGTGGAGATATAGGGGAGATTTCATGGGGTAAAGTCAGGAGACTGGGGAGGTACCCAAGAGACAATCCTCATCCCTACCCGGAGCAAGTCAGCACACAGCACCCTAGGGTTCCCCTCTCCTCCCCTCAGCTAGAGGAGTTGCCAGGCTGGTCCTCAATGACTCAGGAAAAGCCTCTTAGCTAAAGGGGCAGGGAAGTTGTGAGTAAGGGCCCAGTGCCAGGCCCAGCTCACCTACCCAGCTCTCCAGGACTTGGCAAGGATGCCTGGTACAGGTGGGGCTGAGTTGGCTTCTAGGCAGCCAGAAATAAGGGTCTCTTAGGGGGTCTCAGGCCTTGAGAAATTGATGGAACAAAGCAGAGTTGAGAAAGAGAGATTCCGGTATGCAAGAGGGGAATGGAAGTGGACAAGGACCCCAGCCCACATGCAGCAAAATCCTCAGGCAACTGGAGAGGGCAGCCAACAGACAGGCCTGCTGGGCGGGTTTCCTCTTTGGCAGACAGAGGGCCAGAGCTCCAGACAAAGCTCTGGTTCACCTAGAAGCCTGAGCCAGATGGGTGGCTGCTTCTAGGGAACACAGAGGCTCCAGGGGGTATGAGAAGCCAAATGGATGACTGTGCTGGGCATGGTGCCTTCTGCTGGGGAGCAAAATGGGAGATGTACAAGGGCTTATGGGGCTGGCAGGATGGAGGAGGTAGAGCTGAGAAAGCAAGGATTCTTTGCCAAGTCTAAATCTTTTCTCTGTTAGCCCAGCCGAGAAGCAAACTGCTCCCTGGGAAAGGCTGAGGAGGAGGCCTGAGGGAGGAGGATCCCCCCCAAAAAAGTGCCTCTGTGGTCCTGCCTTTCTGCTGCAGGTCCAAGCTCACCTCACTCACTTTTTACAGCCCTTCAAAGATCATCCCCATATGGTCCTGGTGGTCACTAAACTGATGGACTAACTGACCCTCAGTGCCCACCTTTCACCCAGAGACCTTGCCCACCCTGGCCTCCTTCACCCAGACCACACCACCTGAGAATTGGGGAGGAGGCCTGATGGTGAGGATGTCCAACAGACAACTCAGGCTCCAGACTAATGCAATGCCAGACTAATGCAGTGCCTTTGCATTGGGCACTTGTCTGCTGGGCATCAGTTTTCCTCATCTGTAAATGAGGTTTGTCTGCACCTTGCCTTCTCTGCTTAGGACCACTATACCAGAATTGCTGTCCTGTGGCTTCTCTCTTCCATCCTGTCCAAAGGACTGCAGAACAGTTCTTGGTGGCTCCACCTTGGAGCCTAGAGTGTCTCCTCTGGGGACCCACAGGCTGAGGGTCTGCTGGATGAATGATGACCTGCACAGCCTCTAGGAAACTACACAGGCTTCATCATTCAGCTCTTGAACACCTGTGGCCAGAGCTCTGACTTCTGCATGTCTGCCTCCCATCAATCCCTGGAATGACACGAGCAGCTCCTGTATGTACCAGAGGTCCAAATAGGTGTCCAATTGCCCACTTGGCGCCTTCCTGCAGGAAGTATTCAGACCAGAAGAGGAAGGAGTGCTAGGGCTGGGTGGGGCTCCCTGGGTGGAGAAGCAGGAGTGGCAAAGGTTATCGGGGTGTGGTTCTGTAGGCCACCTCTCTGCCATGGCTCCTGCCCTGACAACTCTGGAGGGAGAGGCACTCTTGAAGACAGAAGACAGAAGACAGAAGAAGCCTACTGCTAGTGAAGGAAGCAGGAGACGGGGGGGCCAAACTTTCTATTGGCTAGGGATTGCTTTTACACAGTTGGTTCAGAGGTCCACCAGACCCACAGTGACAGTGAGGGAAGGTCAAGACACCCTCAAGATCCTGGCAAGTGATACAATGGGTCACCACCCAACAAATCCTTTTGAAGGCCTGGTCTGTGGACCACGTGTGCTCTGCTACCCTCCTGTGGATTAGTGTGGTAGTGCACGCAGGCCCACAATGAGCTCTAGCCACCCTATTAGCTTTTTCTCTTCTCACGTCCCCTCCATACTTGGCAAATGACAACACCACAGCACACTGGAGCAATACATCAGTAGCAGGTACCATGAGTCCTACCTCCCAAATACCTTAAAGGGATGGGCTTAATCATACTTGTTAAAAACCCAGCCCAGAGAACATTAGTATTTGCTACTTGAAATGCCACTCCCCATGCTAGAAGAAACATCTCACCAAATTGTCTGAACATCTGGCTTTTCTTAAACTTCTTCTTGAGATCCATGTGTATAGTCTTCATAGTTTCTACTTCACCCCCAACCAAACGTCAGAAGCCACGGTGAGAACTGATTGTGCATAGAAAATAAGATGTCCGGGTGTGCTCATTGGGTGAGGGGCATGAAGCCCCAGGCACTAAGAGTGCTGGGGGCAGCTGAGCATCATGTTTAGCACACAGCAGTGAAACCACCCCAGCATCTCTTCCCAGGTTAGTTCTTGTGAACTTCTAGAAAGCTCAGTTTTCCTATTATTTGCTAAAACAGAGATGGCACACCCTTCCTTACCAAAGGATTAAAGGAGATAATGTAGTAAAGCCCTGAGCTCTGAGAGTGCCTACTACTGTCACAGGCTGTGGACTTTTCATTATAATACACTATAAGATAATATCGTCTCGCCGGGCGTTGGTGGTGCACGCCTTTAATCCCAGCACTCGGGAGGCAGAGACAGAGGCAGGCAGATCTCTGTGAGGTGGAGGCCAGCCTGGTCTACAGAACGAGTGCCAGGATAGGCTCCAAAGCTACACAGAGAAACCCTGTCTCGAAAAAAAAAAAAAAAAAAAAAAAAAGAGCACTGACTGCTCTTCCAGAGGTCCTGAGTTCAATTCCCAGAAACCACATGGTGGCTCACAACCATCCGTTATGAGATCTGGTCCCTTCTTCTGGTGTGCAGATATACATGGAAGCAGAATGTTAAATACATAATAAAATCTTTAAAAAAAAAAAAAAAAAAAAAGATTGTATCGTCTCTCCAAGCTCCATAGGCATCTCTGCATCACCCCTGCCCCTTGAGGAGTCTCATGGTTCTTAAGGTGGTTCCAGAACAGCAGATCCTCATCAGCTGGAAGCCTGTTCAACTTGAGAAGTCAAGTTGAGTGAGGAACTCCGGGGAAGGCCAGCGATCTGGATTTTAAAGATTCTGCAGTGACTTGGGTGCACGCCAGGGATGGAGAATTGCTGATGGCAGAAAACTGGCATGTGTGGAGATAAACAACTGTGTGCACCTGGGCTTCCCCGCAGGGGAGAGAACATGGGAGGGACAAGGAGACTGGTCCTCACATAGACGAATATCAGGAGGGAACCCCAGAGACTTGGTATGGCTGGAGGAGAGTGACTAGGAAGCAGGGCTGAGAGGGACAGAGCTGAACCTGGTCAGGAAGCCCTGTACAGGTGGGAAAGTGGAATCTAGGCCTTACCCTGTAAGCAACGGAAATGTGGAAGGCTTTTAGTGGGGAATGACATGAGCACCTTATATTGGGGGAGGAGGGACTCTTGCAGCATTCTGACCTTGAACAACAAGATCAGTGGAGAAGCCACTAAAAAGGTCTAGGTAGGGATGAACTCAGGCTGTGGTCTCAGGGATGCTGGGAACTAGGCAGCTTATGAGACAGGAGGAGTGATGGACCTGT